TCTGAATAAATGAATCTGCCTATAAGTCAATTAACTTAATATATAAAAAACTCTGTTTCATAATTACAGACTAAACTTTTAGCTCAAGCCAATTTACCTCCCAAGTATGTGCGTCGCTTGTCACAAAGAATACCTGGGAGAAAAGCACCAACATGCTATTTGAAAAAAATAAGTAAACATGTAGATGTACCACTGCTACTTCATCATTAGAAAAATAAAAACTAAAATTAAGGCAAATGAATTCTTTCTAACTTCCCACCTCCCCCATTTCATCTATGAGTTGACAATTTAAGGTCTAAGACACATGTATAAATGTTTTCACAAGTTAACAATGATAGAAAAATAAACATTTTGCTTTCTGATTAAACAAAATAGAAAAGCCAGGAGTGGTGGTACATGCCTGTAATCCCAGCACTAGGGAGGCAGAGGCAGAAGGATCGCCATGAGTTTGAGGCCAGCCTGAACTACATAGTGAGATCTTGTCTCAAAACAAACAAACAAACAAAAATCTAACTCTGAATAAAAGGCCATTTTTTTTTTTTTTTTTTTTTAGGTTTTTCTCCGGTACCAGGAACCGAACTCACGACCTTGCGCTTGCCAGGCAAGCGCTTTTGCCGCTGAGCTAAATCCCCAGCCCTAAAAGGCCATTCTTGATACTTACATCTCTTACCTGATACTGAACTCATCTCCTATTGCTTAAATTCTTTAAGTGTCTTTCCTGATTTTTCCAGGATCTTTAGTGGTTCATGGTCTCCAATCTAAGATCCTGATCCTGCTATCTAATCTTGCTTGGATTTTCGATCTCTTGCCAGTATCCCACGAACTGGGAGGATTTTACGTTAAGCTCAAGAACCAATCATAGACTATTACATAATAGTTGCTAAGAGTTGCAGGGTTTATAAAGAATTAGAGTAGTGTCAGTTCTTCTTTGAATGAGTATTTCACTGACAAATGAAGAGAATTCAATGACTGTTATTAGCTCTGTATGCTATCAAGGCATCTGACAAGGATGCTCGTATCTTTGAGTAAAAACTAAACCATGAATTAGATTCAACTACAGAACTATTAACTGCTTAAGAAATTCTGATTAAGAAACACTTACAATATTCTGAATAGTAGATCTAAGTCAGTACCATGTAGAGGTCCATGCAATGCAATGGTTCTCAAATTCTATCATGCATCTGAATGGCCTGAAAGGGCTATTCAAAGAAACTGCCGAGTCTTCCCCCAGAGTTTTTAATTCAAAAGGTAAAGACCTAAAAAAAAAATCTGCATTTTTAACAAATTCCTAGGTGATATTATTGCAGATAATCTGCAGCCCATGTTTTGAAGATGACTAAAATATATTGCATCTCAGGATATTAAAACAGATTTTGTTCAACATTCTGCCAGTAGACTTGTTAAATATATATAAACTACAACTACAAATCTATTGATGATACAAACTTGTGATCTAAAAAGGTCCCAATAGGCTAATTTAGGGAAAAATCTTAAAAACAGAACATATTAGTGATAATCTTAAAATCCCAAAATAAAAGTCGATCATATAAATATAGGATTAGGAAAACAGCAATCACAAAAAATAGGAAAGATAAAGAATTTAGAACACTATAGACTTGATGTTTTGAGCATAAGCTCCAGCCATCAAAGAAGTTGTAACAGCTTGGGCTTTGATAATAAAGTACAGAGTATGGATCAATGTATTTGATAGCCCAACTACATATTATATGGGCTCCCTTACACCTGGTATCAGACATTGAAATTAAACAGAAAATAATCAAATGAGTTTGTTCAAAAAGCCACCAATCTAAAATATCACATGAGAACAGTAACAGGAGTAGTAACAGGAATCTTCTTCCCTTTAGAAGATTCAGAGGGGATACAAGAGCAGTTTTATATAACTGGATCTTTTTTGTGTATGGCCCTGAAAAATAATGCCACATACAGCTGTAAGGCTGCTTTATACACACAAGTGCCAAGATGAGAAGAGGAGGGAGGAAACGCGGAAATCCAGTTTATATTTCACCTGATAAGTCAGGTGCCTCAGCAAGGGTTGAGACCAGGTGGGAAAAGGGTAAACTTTCTCTAATTACATGAAGGAGATAGCTTTAGAAGGCTTTTTCTTTTTGGTGAAGACACCTTTCCTAAAATTTGCAAAAAAAAAAAAAAAGACACAACAGACTAGTGGTGGACCAGGGATATAGCTCAGTGGCACAAGTGCCTGCCTGGCAAGCCCACCGTCCTGAGTTCAATTCCCAATACCAAAAAAAAAAGACTAGTGGTAACTCTAGCTCTAATGCAGAACTAGGTCTGTTGACAGAATTTTACAGAGAAAATGGTTTCAGCTCAATGTAACCTACAGATAGCGAAATGTATCATAACGAAATACATTCTGTGAAGAGTTGTTAATAACCTAATTGGTTGTTGAAGGAACCACTAGACAACTGCATGACAGTCACTTTAGGGAGGACTCAGGCTGGAAGGGTATGTGCACGTGCATGTTTGTGTTCATGGAGGGAGGAGTGTGTTTGTGTGTTTAGCAGGTAGGGGTGAAACAATAATCTTTCAACTTCTAGGATTTTTCATTTGAACTATCTATCTTCTCCTCTGTATCTTAGTTAACTCCCATGGTATCCAGACCTCTTCTTATCACAAATTTACCATGCATTCTAGACTTCCTTCTACCCTGCCAAATTTCTCTTCCTATACCCTTTCTTCTGTCCCTGCCCCAGAATGGAAAAAGTAAATATACTACTAAAAGTAAATACACTACTACCGAAAATACACTTTGTATTTTAAAACTGTCTTCCAGATATTAAAAAAATACAAAATTACTTAAAATAGAATGAAAACTTATTTTAAATTCTCAATATATTCATTAGAGAAAGCTAAATATTAGTCACTGAAAGTCACAAGTTACGAGGGTGCTCCCAGAAAGAGTATGGGAGTCTCTTCGTGGAAGTCTCTTCAATATTTACACTACACTTGTTTGAAATAACGGGATTTTTTGGAAAAGAAAATATTTAACATTAGAAATAGTGAAATAAACATGAGGCAAAGATTCTGGGGTATGTGGGACTTTCTCTCAGTATTAACAAGGGTACTCCTTTGTGGACAGGTAAATGACAAAAGAGATTAAACACTTAAGTTGCCTAACCAAACAGCAATTTCCATCACTGGACAGTAAGTCTAAGTAAGAAAACATAACCAAATACCAGGAAAAAGTCCAAACACCTTAGTATTTTGAAGCCACAATAAAGATGTAATAATACAAAATGCCTCCAACGATGTTTGTTTAAAATATTTATGTAAAGCCAGGTATGGTGGTGCACACGTGTAATCCCAGCACTTGGAAGGCCAAGGCAGGAGGATCGTTGCGAGTTTGAGACCAGCCTGGGCTACAAAGTGAGCTCAAGGCCAGCCTGAACTGCAGAGCAGTTTGAAAAAAAAAAAAGAAAAAAAATATATATGGAATGTCAGGCTGGAATGACCACATAAGACAACATTTTAAAAATTTTAAGAAATCTGTTTCAGCTAAGGTGTAGATCAGTGCTAGAATGAATACTTAGTATAAAATAAAGGGAGGAGAGGAGAAGGAAAAGGAAAGGGGAGAGAAGGAGATAAGAGGTAAAGGGAGAAAAGGGTACAGGAAGGGAGGGAAGAATCAGTTTCCACATTATTTTCAAAATGAAAATAACAATTTGAGATGAGAAACTTGTAAAAAGAAAGTGGGGCTGGGCATGGTGGCACACACTTGTAATCCCAGCTCTCAGGAGGCTGAGGCAGGAGGATTGCCATGAGTTTGAGGTAAGCCTGGACTACCTAGTAAGTTCAAAGCCAGCCTGAACTACTTAGTGAGACCCTGTCTCAAAAAAGAAAGGAGAGAGACAGACAGACAGACAGACAGACAGAGAGACAGAGAGACAGGGAGAGAGAAAGGCACGCAGGCTTTCTGACATACTTCTGTAAATAGAAAATACTTTGTACATGATAGTTTTATTTTAAGAAATAAAGATTTTCTAATTATAGAAAATTAGAAACACTTTCTAGGAAAAGAAAATTATATTTTTCCTAGCAGAACACATATACAATAATACACAAATACTTGATATTTGTTGGGGGAAAAACCATCATTTTTGCTTTGTAGGCTGTTGGTATTTATTAATGTATTTCATAAAGAATATATTGTTGCAAATTTTTCCTCATGCAAACATTTTATAATTTTCTGTGTCCCACTGATTTTCAATTTGCCAGTGGAAGTGTCTAATTCAATAGTCAACAGACATTTTCTTCATTTAATTGGGGTACCATTCATTAGAAAGCACTGCTTGAAAATTGCTCATGGCCACTCATGTCCTGTATTACAGTGTTATAATTTAAGAAGTGATAAAACTCATGCAGAACCACATATTACAAGGCCAATAACACACAAATAACCAAGTGACACATCCTGTTTTGAGGCTAATTAGTTAGTGTCAACATTAGATTAAGGAATATGCAAACCTGTTACCTAAACAAAATAAAGTAACAGATAATGGCAAATACAAAGGCTTGAGGAATCTTTGGAAAAGGGGAACAAAATTCAGAAGCTACATGTAGTAGGCAGGGTTTTAAGGTTATTCTTCTACCAACAATCTAAAAACCTACTTACAAAAAAATTAAGAATGACAATCTTAGAATCATTTCACTCACTTATAACAAACATTCAGAGTTCTAGCAAGAAGAGAACAGTGACCACAGAAAGAGAGGGAAAACAATCTTTTTAAGTATCTCAATCTGGATTAACACTTCAGTGCCTCTCTTTAGAGACTTTGAATATGAAGCTATTTTTTGCTTTCTGTAAAGAAGTTATATCTACTACTAGGGATGCCAAAAGTTTAGTTATCAGGTTTCTCTCCTTTTCAAATTATCCTACTATATACAATTTTCTCCTATATAATTTAAATATAGACTCTTAGAAATGCTCAGAGTCCTAGAGAGTTACCCAATATGGTACTTACATTCACACTGTATGACGTCTAAGTTAAATTGCTGAACGGCTCCCATGCTTATTTGTTTTAACTCACTGTCGAGTAGCATCTGCATTAAGGATGTTGACAGATGCTGGCAGGCCGACATGCAAGCTGTCTGAGCAACTTTCCCCTGTTTAAAACAACCAAACAAACAAAAAAACAAATAACCAAACACAGATACATAAAATACAGCAAAAAATTATTTACCTTTTTGTTGGTACAGTATGACTCGGCTTTTGTTTTTGTATTCTGAATGCCTATGCCTTTATATTACAGACATTAAAATTAATAGTGTTAGTTCTCCAATTTTTCTCAGGATATATTAAAAATCTAACTGCCAAGAGCAAAATAAAAATACAAGTTCAAAAACTATTACTTTCAGATCTGTTGAGATATTTCAGATTTTTTTTGCACATTAAAATATGACATTTACAACATAAATCACTGTCATACTGATAAATTTAATTAATTTAATCCATTTAATCCATATAATTCTCTTTAAGCTCTCCATATATCAAATCAAGCCAGAATAAAGGAAATTAATAGTGTAATAAATTATTATTACTATTTAAACTATAGCTGAAATTCAAAATATACTTTGAGTCATAAGTCCTTACTTCTACTCCAAGTTATTAGCTTGTAGCATAGCTACAACTACTGATGGAGAAATAGGCCTGATACTAGTAAGACTTCAATTTCATCTATATATCTGTAGTTTTAGAAATTAAGTTTTAAACTTATCTGGTAATTTAGAAATATATAGTCATGTACACTACAAAATATTGTGGTTTTTCTTTCACTATGATATACAACAAATTTTTAAAGTATTTCCTACTATAATAAGCACCTAGAGGCTGGGGATGTAGCTCAGCAGCATAGCACCAGCCTGGCAAGCGCAAGGTCGAGTTTGATCTCTGCTACCAGAAAAAAAACAAAACAAAACAAAAAAGCACCTAAAATTCTACATGAAATTTCCTTCTTTCACTGTTATCCTTAATTGAAATGGTCCCCTAGAAACAATTTCTTAAATGTTTAGGCTCTATTACAACACTACATCACTTTTAGTATAAATTTTTTATTTGTAGTCCTGGACATTGAATCCAGGGTCTGTGCACTGAGTTATATCCTCAGCCCTGTTTACTTTTTAATTTTGAGACCGAGTCTAAATTGCTAAGATGCCTAGGTTGGGCTAAAACTTGGGATTCTCCTACCTCAGCCTCCCAAGGACCTTGGATTACAGACATGTGCCACCCTACACAGCTGCATTTTCTTTTTTTTTGCAGAACTGGAGATTAAATCCAGGGGTTTATAGGTGGTAGGCAAGCAGTCTACCACTGAGCTACAGCCGAAATATTTTTACTTTTCATTTTGAAACATGGTTTCATAAGTTGTCCATGCTGGCCTCGAACTTGGAATCCTTCTGTATTGACCTCTGAGTAGCTATTACAGATGTGCACCACTGTGTCTGGCTATAAATTGTTTCTTTAAACAGGCTTTACATTGCAAGTAGAACTTTAAAACAACATGAAGACTCTTTTGGGTAAAAATTTTCCAGAAAAATACTGCTTCTAGGATGGTTATTTTAAATTGACAATTATAAGATTGGTGGCAACTAATTTCCAGGCAGACCTATGAATATGGCTTAGAAATAATGACTCTTAAAAAATGTCTTGTTTGCAATGTTTCCATGAACAAATATTTATCCAGTGATATTTGATATTTTTTGTACTCATCACAGAAGCCAATAAAGCTACAAAATCATGAACAGTATCTTTCAAACACAGCACTACAAAATACTAGTACAAAAATGTTTATGTAGTGTTGATGTGAAAGGTAATAAAAATACAAACATTTTCATAACGTTTGTTCAAACATTTATTCTTCAAATTACACATTAAAAATCAGACTATAAACAAACAACTTTAATGAATTAATCTTTTAGTATTTAGATACTATGCACAGTGGAAAACTCAGTATCTGAAATGGCATGTCAATTTCTCAATCAAAAACTTTAGAGACAAAAGCTGATGCCAACAATAAATTTGACAGATACTGATGAACTGCCAAGAAAGAATGTAACAATGAAAAACCCAGCATGCTTCAAGATCCCCCAAGCCCTACAGGAATTAGTTTAGAAGACATGCAGCTCCATTCCTCGAGCAGAATAATACCAATATGAATGAGGGGGCAGAAAAAGGAGAAATCAGTGGCATGCTATTTAATTAACTTGTAATAGGTTTGAGCCTATTGGAAATGTCATTTTGGAGTTGTCATCTTGATCTAATGAAACAACTAGTACATTTTAGTTTAAACTTGGGTGTATACCCCCAAAATACTTCTGATGTTTATAGCCCTTAGGACATTTAGATATAACCAAACAACCCCTTTTGTACACTATTATTGCTATTATTGGTGTTCTTAACATCATTTTCTAAAATAAAAAGAATCTAAGTATTGATATAATTATCTTCAAAAATTAGCACTTTCCATTAAAGAACCTCTGGTTTTTAACATGATAACAAAGCCAAAATAACTAAATATGAAAACAATGGACATTCAATACATTTTAAGGACCCTGTACCTAGAAATTACTCCTGCTCTCATCTCAAAAATTGCAACTAATAAAAATTTTTAACATTTTTTTCACTTTAACAATACAAGGTTCAATAAGTAAGTAAAAACACCTGCTAAACTTTTAAAGATAACTTTTTTTTTTTAACCCTACTCTAACATTTTGCTGAAAAACAACTTGGAAAGACAGAAAACCCTTAGACAAACTTCTTATATTTCAAAGGAACTTGTAAAAGAGAATCTGCTGACATATTAGATCCCTTTTGCATTACCCAAAAGCTTTTCTTCTAAGAACAATTGTGGTAAAGAGACATTTGGCTCCTAAGAAATTCCCAAAGGGTCAACCATATGCATCCTTCCATGGCACCTTCACAGTGCTGCTTTCTGGATTCATGTCTCAAAAGCAGCTTTCATCATTTACTTGTGTGTCAGTCAATATGATTTATGGACTGCACTCAACAAAGTCAAAGAAGCTTATAGAATGAGAAATATGACTACAATCTGCTAATTTGTTTTGTATTGAGCCATTTAAGAGTCAAAGACCTGATGTCAGACTGAGACCAGCAACACAATTAACCAGCCGGTGACAGATTCATCCATCCTCCCTGCCAGGCTGTGCCAATCAAAGACAGCATGAGGTGACATTTGGTGAAATCAGTAAGAAAACTCACTCTCTAAATAACCTATGAGAGGCCTTGATTGACATTTTTTGAATTTAGTTTGTGGAACACAGCCATGCTTTATCCAATAGTACCACACTGCAAGCTGTGAAATAAGACTTTTAACGCCAATCACAGGAACAATAAACCACTACCATCAACCTCATTCTAAAAGGAATCAAGAAAATGCTCGTGTCTGTATATGAAGCCAAATTTCCAAAATAACTTAATATTATAGATTAGGCTACAGATACTCTTTCCTTTGAAATATCATAAAATAACATGTAATAAAAATATTTTATTAGATTACGGCTGAAACTTTTAGTTTCAAAGTAATGCTTTCATTTAATATAATAGTAGAAATATTGAATACTTATAAACTAATTTGGCACTTTAAATTTTTATTTGAAGCTTTCATTTGTCTCACCATTCTCTTATTTCAAAGATCTAATAAAGATCTGATTTCAACAGTAATTCTTTGAAAGTATTTTTGGTGTTGCTTTCATTCTCTCAAGTACATGTGATATGAAATGTGTTCTTGAAATCACACCCATTCTTTCCGTATAGGTCTACTCTTCCTTAATGATCCCAGGAGAGTCCATTTTCCTTCATTTATATCCCCACATAAAAAAAAACCTGTTTTGCAAAATGAAACTATTTTTTTTACTTAAGTGAAAAAGAAATATATAGATGCAAACACACAGTACACTGCATTGTTCTTTAAGCTGATAATATATTTTGTTCTTAAAAGTGATGTAATAAGGGCTGGGGATTTAGCTCAGCAGCAAAAGCGCCTGCCTGGCAAGCACAAGGTAGTGAGTTCGGTTCCCGGTACTGGAGAAAAACCAAAAAAAAAAAAAAAAAAAAAGTTATGCAACCACTGTATAAAAATAAAAACTAAATAGAATCATGGTATATTCAAATAAAACCTAACACTAGTTATGTAAACTTATTAATTCTGGCCCAGTTTTTTTAAAACTAAAGCAGTAAATTACCATTTTCTACAAATGCAATGCTTCTCAGTTTGTTACATAAATATGTTACGAGTCTGAGATAGTCTTTTTTGAGGTAAAAGAGGAAAGAGAGCATTTGGATGAATTCATCAGTCTCCTAAAACGCCATAATGTAGTACCTTTTAAAATATACAGACTAAAGGAAGGAGGTCTTTCATTAGTGTGGAGTTAAATACTAGAATTAGAAATAAACTCCTAATTGAAAAATAAAATGCCTAATTGAAGTGTAGACATTTTAAAGGAGAAATAATCTTTCTTCTGGTTTATATATATGAACCACTAAAATTTTACTATATAAAATTCATCTCACTCAAATGTAAACATGTTATTAAATTAGAAAAAATAAAACATTAGATAGAATATGATCATTTCCCCAAGATTATTTCACACATATACAAGGATTCCTTCACTTAGTGATAATTGCGCCTCAGGTAAACCTCATTGGCTACGATGCCGCCACTGTGCAAAGCTGGATTCCTTTACTTAGAAGATTTATTTTAACTCATCTTCACACTCACACAGAAATGTCTCAAATTCCCAATATATATTCTCAATATAACACAGAAATGTCTCAAATTCCCAATAATATAGAATGGGTAAGTTATAATACAGAATGGGTAAGGGTTTAAATACCAAGATGAATTTTCCTAGTGAGTTTTAATAATAACTTTAAAACTGCCTTAAAGACAGATAGTTGAGCATATGCCAACAAATTCATAGGTCTCTCAAAACATACTCACTAAAACACCTTCAACCTTCTCCAAAATACCTTTTCTATTTTTGTATTTCCTAACTCACTTTCTGTCCTGATGTCAGCACATCAGTGAACAACAGTCCTCAGAGTTAAGTATGAAATCTCATTCTTCCTGCTTATGCTTTTTTCCCTC